ACACACACACACACACACACACATATATATATATATATATATATATATATATATATATATATATATATATAAACACTCCTGTGTGGGTTCCGGGGCCCCATTGTGGGGAAAACAAGAATAGACTCACTGCCTCCCCAAAAACATGTCGTGAGAGTCGACTAATTGGGGAGCTTCCTTTGAAGTCGGAGTGCATCTGCCGGAGAGGCAAGGAACCAACAGTCTATATTCAAGAGAATGGGATCTGTAAAACTGATGCACACGCAACACTCAGGTTCTGGAGCAGGACTGCAGCTCAGTAGTGGACGAGCAACCAGAACTTTCCGCCAGAGTGTACAGCTGGTGAAGGCGAAGAAGAAGAAGATATATAAACACGCACGCACGTGCGTACACAATCACACACACACATTCCAAAGCAGGGGGTTCCATAAATCAGCGCCCCTGTGCCGAACATAAAGCACCAGTCCCCCACGAATGTACAAAGGTTATGTGTATCTTGCACTGGAACTATATTGCTCGCGGCTTTCAGCCCAATCTGGTGCCATTGTTTCCGCCAGGGAAATGTGAAACCATCTTATCTTTCGGCCCACAAGGGGCGTCGCCAGTCTTCTGTAGCCAACCGTCAAATAAACGACATTTTTTACTTGCCAGTGGCGCATAGGGCATAGAGAGTCAGACCTATATTTTGTTTCGACCATTCAGCATTTGGATGGGAATGTAGTTAACATTACGCCAGCCGCCTTTATTTCTAGATTGTCTACAGTTGCTGGCTGAATATTATATTATATTATATTATATTATATTATATTATATTATATTATATTATATTATATTATATTATATTATATTATATTATATTATATTATATTATATTATATTATATTATATTATATTATATTATATTATATTATATTACATTACATTACATTACATTACATTACATTATATTATATTATATTATATTATATTATATTATATTATATTATATTATATTATATTATATTATATTATATTATATTATATTATATTACATTACATTATATTTTATTATATTATATTATATTATATTATATTATATTAAAATAATTTTGCATTATATTACATTTTTTAAACAAATCTCAAATATAACTGATTAACTTTCGCTCCCACCTTCACGAAACTGAAACACAACTCCTCTGGCTAATTTTCCAATAATCTCACTGTATATCTCTCCAAAGCTGGCCGGGTCCGCCCCTGACGACAGAAATTATCTCACAAACAATGGAACAATCGCCAGATAACACTGATTACTAGTCTCAACTGTCTCACAGTTCCTTCGTGTGTGGACTTCGTGCCTCCATATCCCTGGAGTTAATTCTGTTTGGCTAAGGTGAAACGACTGTCGGACTTATAACAGTATTGTAGAGTAGTCTGTGTGTGTTTGGAAACAGCGATAGTGAAATAGTGAGCACAGTTTTTTGAAGGACTAGATTTTCGTATTATGTATGTTGTTATATGAACACAACATGCTTTATTGATAAACTGCAACTGAGTGTTTGAAAGGGTCGAATATAAGAGATATTATGTGTACAATTCCTAGGCAATAATTCATATATTGTCATCCTTTTGTGGGATGCAATTTTTCGTTATTTGAAGCCCTACTCTAGCTCTTGCCCGGGGCCGCAATATAGCCCAGACATAAATATGGCCTAATGGATAAACACGGTTTCCGGGACTATTCCCCGGGTGAACCTCAACCGCATAGTGGCACTTTGAGTCATCGGATGTTTATCGCCTGTGTGATGTCCTAGTGGCGTAAAATTTACTACTACTATTACAATTCCTAAAACTTTGAAAACTAAAATTCGTTCATTCGTTCGTTTGAAGGGCATACATCATTTCAGACTGCTTTTTTTTTTTTTTTAAGTTTTAAACGACGTATCAACACATGGCACAAGGATAGTAACCCATAAGCGTAAGTCTAAATAATCTCAGCAAAGTGCACAAACTCCGTGACACAGGCGAGGATCCTAAAATACGTTTGGTAGATAATTTTTTTATGTTACCCGGGTAGTGCCGTTAGTCTACTCTTTTTCGATTTCCATCTGCCAATGGATTTTTGTACGTGCGCAACAATGCACACGGGCGTCCGATCTCACTACCCAGAGATCAGGTAAAATGACTAGAAGTCCACGTGAAAAAAATCACAGCCTTCACCGGGGATTGAACCCGGGACCTCCAGCACTCGAGGCAGACGCTATGCCTCGAGACCACGAAGCTCTCTACTTGCTTTTTTAAAATTAACTTGCAGTCAGTTTCAAGATTAAGGGAAGATTTTTTTTTTAAAGTAAAAAAAGGTAATTTCAACATTAAAATATATACAAGGAAAATATCTATGAAGTAAATGCTGCCCATGCGATACTGACCATGTAATCAAAATCATCAGTCAGTCTAGTACATATACTAACATCATATACTCATTTCATCACTGCACTAGACAGGTTCATGTCCATTTGCTTTACTTTAACTTCTGATATAAGTTAAGTTAAAAAAAAAGTAAAGGACCCTTTTCCACGCGTTTAAGCGTATAGGGCATATAGGGCTAGATCTATATTTTTATAGACCAATCGGAACAAGATGGGTGATGTGGTCAGTATCACGCCGTCCGCCTTTACTTCCCGGGACTGCATCCGGTACCCACTCAAGGCTGGGTCGACCTGGGAGCTAAGGTCATTTTTGAAAAAAGTCGGGCTCCTCCAGGGAGCGAACCCACGACCTTCCGATCCGCGGCGAGCGTCTAGACGCTCCGCCACGGGGACTCCCTAACGTCTTATATACTGTATAAAAATTATTATTTAAAAAAACAGAAATACAAACAACATATTTTAAAGAAGTTATCTACGTGTCCTTTACAGAACAACCCCATAACTTTAAATTACGTGGTTTTCCATCAGTTAATAGATTTTTGAAAGCTGTGGAGAGAGATACTGTTTTTTAGAGGAGTAATGAGAATGCCTAGCACACACACACAAAAAAGGGTATGAAGATGTCTTGAAAAAAACTGACTCATAAAAATAACTGATTGCCCACATGAGAAAGAGACAATCACAATTTTCTTGGTTATGTTAAGAGAAGAAGAAAACTGAAGTATATCTGACAGTAGGACAGTTGGAGTGGAAGAGAGGCAGAGGGAAGCGAGAGAAAAGATTCTGGACAGTTTGACGTCATGGCATTGAGGGTCGTCTCCATCAGGGTTCACTGAAAGTAAATCTTCTTCTTCTTCTTCGCGTTCACCAGCTGTAACTCTGGCGGAAAGTTCTGTTGCTCGTCCACTACTGAACTGCAGTCCTGCTCCAGAACGTGAGTGTTGCGTGTGCATCAGTTTTTCAGATCTCATTCTCTATAATACAGACTGTTGGTTCCTTGCCTCTCCGGCAGATGCACTCCGACTTCAAAGGAAGCTCCCCAATTAGTCGACTCTTACGACATGCTTTTGGGGAGGCAGTGGGTCTATTCTTGTTTTCCCCACGATGGGACCCCGGAACCCACACGGGGATGAAAGTAAATGAGACAGAAGGGTGTGGATAGACATGACGTCACATGGCATGTACTTATGGAAGAAACAGAACAAGTTTGCTATTGTTTACTAAATGGAAGGCTCGCGAACAGTTGATATCACTGTAGAAACCAATGCAAGGCAGTCTCTTTCAAATCGCCAGCAGCGTAAAACAAGAAGCAGCAGAAGAAAAGAAGAAGAAGAAGAGAAGAAGAAGAAGAAGAAGAAGAAAAAGAAGAAGAAGAAGAAGAAGAAGAAGAAGAAGAAGAAGAAGAAGAAGAAGAAGAAGAAAGAAGAAGAAGAAGAAGAAGAAGAAGAAGAAGAAGAAGAAGAAGAAGAAGAAGAAGAAGAAGAAGAAGAAGAAGAAGAAGAAGAAGAAGAAGAAGAAGAAGAAGAAGAAGAAGAAGAAGAAAAAGAAGAAGAAGAAAAAGAAAGAAGAAGAAGAAAAGGAAAAATAGAAGAAAAAGAAAGAAGAAGAAGAAGAAGAAGAAGAAGAAGAAGAAGAAGAAGAAAAGAAGAAGAAGAAGAAGAAGAAGAAGAAGAGAAGAAGAAGAAGAAGAAGAAGAAGAAGAAGAAGA